CAATGGTATTGAATTTGATATGCCTACATACTATCAACATAATGGCATCATACATCAAACCTCATGTGTTGAAACTCCAGAACAGAATGGAGTTGTTGAACGAAAGCATCAACACATCCTTAATGTTTCAAGAGCTCTTCTCTTTCAAGCAAATTTGCCTCTCCAACTATGGTCATACTGCATTTCACATGCAGTACACATAATCAACCGAACTACTACCCCTCTTTTAAATCATAAAACACCTTATGAAGTGTTGTATCATTCCCCTCCTATCTTAATTCATCTTAAAGTTCTTGGCTGCTTGTGTTTTGCTAGCTCTTTATCAAGTCATAGAACAAAATTCTCAGCTCGTGCTCATAAGTGTATCTTTCTTGGTTTCAAGGATGGAACAAAGGGGTATGTAGTTTTGGACCTTTCATCCCACAAGATATTTGTGTCTCGAAATGTTGTATTTCATGAAATGAATTTTCCTTTTTTATCTTCTAAAGATAATTCAAATCATGATTCTGTTTTCCCACTTTATTTTGATTTCAATGATCCATTCATTACTTCATTGAATAATTCCAATCCTACTGTCATATCAAACCATGATTTTGTTCAAATTCAAACTCAAAATACTATTGATTCTCACAATCCTAATGTCAATGACTCTCATAATGTCATTGAAAAATCTATAAGACAAAGACGTCCACCTTCATATCTCAATGATTTTTACTGCAATTTATCTTCTTCTACAGCAATGCAATCAGCTTCCACAGGTATATCTTCTAACACTAAAACTCCATATCCCATATCCTCTGTTGTCAATTTCAATAAATGTTCACCTGCTTATACCAAATACTGCCTTACCATTAGTGTCAATTCTGAACCAAAAACTTATAATGAGGCTGTTAAACATGAATGCTGGCGTCAGGCCATGGATGCTGAGATCTTAGCTCTTGAACAGAATAAAACTTGGAGTCTGATTGATCTTCCTAAAGGGAAGCAACCCATTGGCTGCAAATGGGTATACAAGATTAAATACAAATCAGATGGAAGCATAGAGCGTTATAAAGCCAGACTTGTGGCTAAAGGGTACACTCAACTTGAGGGTGTCGACTTCTTTGATACATATTCACCAGTTGCTAAGCTGTCCACTGTCCGCATTTTACTTGCCATTGCAGCAGCTCGAGGCTGGCACTTGGAGCAATTGGATGTGAATAATGCGTTTTTACATGGTGATTTAAATGAAGAAGTCCTCATGGTATTACCTCCTGGAATTTCTGCCTCCAAACCAAATCAAGTTTGTAAACTTGAAAAATCCCTTTATGGTTTAAAACAGGCCAGTAGGCAATGGTTTTCAAAGCTGTCCATTTCCCTTACTGATCTTGGCTATATTCCATCGTCTGCTGATCATACACTGTTTGTCCGAAACTCAGATCATTCCTTTACTGCACTTTTAGTTTATGTCGATGACATAATTCTTGCAGGAAATGATATCAGTGAAATTTCTCGAGTTAAAAGACATCTGGACAATCAGTTTCGAATCAAGGATTTAGGTTCCTTACGGTTCTTCCTTGGAATTGAGATCTCTCGTTCCTCTACTGGAATTATTATGAACCAACGTAAATATGCCTTGGAATTACTGGATGATGCAGGCCTTCTCGGATGTAAACCCTGCTCCACTCCAATGGATCCTACCAAGAAACTTCAACGCATACAAGGTTCACCTTACACTGATCCTTCATCCTACCGAAGATTGGTGGGCCGTTTGCTTTACCTTACTACCACCCGTCCAGATCTTTCCTTTGCGGTCCAACAAATCAGCCAATATGTATCCAACCCAATGGATGTTCATATGCAGGCTGCTCAACGGATTCTTCGTTATATTAAAGGTTCTCCAAGTAAGGGGTTATTCTTTCCTAGCTCAAATGACCTTTCCCTCTCTGGTTTTGCTGATGCTGATTGGGGTTGCTGTGTTGACACCCGCAAATCAGTTTCTGGTTTATGTGTTTTCCTTGGCGCAGCTCTTGTTACTTGGAGATCGAAAAAGCAGACAACTATCTCAAGATCCTTTACCGAGGCAGAATATCGTGCTCTTGCTAGCATGGCCTGTGAAATTCAATGGGTGAACTACTTGTTGCATGATCTTCATGTTCCTACATCCAAACCATCCTCTGTGTATTGTGATAGCCAATCTGCAATATATTTGGCACACAATCCCAGTTTCCATGAGAGGAGCAAACATATTGAAATGGATTGTCATATAATCCGCGAAAAGATCATCAATGGATTGGTTCATCTGCTGCCGGTTTCTACCAAGGACCAGTTAGCTGACGTGATGACCAAGGCTTTACATCATACTCCTTTTCATTCGATTATTTCCAAGTTGGGGCTCATGGACATTTGCCTTCCAACTTGACGGGGGGTATTAACATATAAGGAGACTGAAATGCTGACTGAAATGCTGATGTGGATTTATCAGTTTCTCTTTCTGTTATAACAGATTGTAGTTAATTAATAAGTTAGTTAACCGTTATGTTAGTTAGCTTATTTCAGTTCCTTTTCTTCCGTTGATTGTACAGTAACTAGCTGATATATAAATCAGCTAATCTCAATGTAGTTTTTTTTTCAGTTTTTCAATAAAAGAATGAATGCTTCAATACTTTCCGCTGTTAATAGTTAACTCATTGCTCACGAAAAATAATCTTGCCAAAACTCAAGTGGTGATCTAATAGAAACAATGATCAAAACTAAAGATTTGAGCATCTTGGCAATATTGGAAAAAAGAGAAAGAGGTGGTTTTTGTCGAATAGGTAGGCACATAAATTGCCTTTATTGTTTTGCTTGGTAAGGTACGTAATTGGATGCATGTTGGAAAAGGCTGCAACAGTTGATACATTAATATCACATGCTTTGGATAGATTACAGAACACGAAATTTAGGACACCGCGCGTGGAATGTAATAAATCTTTGGTACTATTGCTATATTTAAATTCAGTGCATATCATCAATGAGAGCAGTACACATCAGAGGAGAGAGAAAAGATTTGACAAAAAAAAAAAAGAATTTTAACTGATATGTAATATTGTCATTGGTAGAATGCACTGAATTTTTGATACAACAGTAGTACCAAAAATTTATTCCGTGAGATGACGCTGTCTTGATCAAGTAGGTGTTTCACAGGAAGGGTTGCTTGGAATTTGGGGCTTCCCTTCTTTACGTGACATGGACAAATGTATTTATTGACCTGCCTGTGTGACTGTGTGACCATTAAAGCATATGAACTATGAACCATGAGTGTAGTTGTGCAGCATATTCTTCCAAAGTCTGTCACTATCGTTTAGTTGGTTTTTTTTTATGGGAAAATATACTCTTATGTTGTATGAAAGAATTTTTCTCTCCTACACATACATCGATTTCCGTGTTACTTTTTTATTTCTTTTTTCTTTTTCTATAATAGGTGAGTCTCACACATGATTATTTCTATTGCATGAGAGAGTTCTCTTCTATTGCATGAGATTAATAAAGCCCTTTTTTTATACGTGTTTCGTTGGTTTTTGACTTTCGACTAAACAAAAGAAAGTACAAATTGCAACACCCAAACCAAATATAATGTTTCCTTTCTCTTTAATAACTTTAGTGTATAAGAAGAATTCACAAAACCTACACCTCATTCAGTTTAGGGCTAGGGTTATATTCATTAGCCTCTTGGAATCTTCACTTGGTAGTTATAGAATCTAAAGGTAAGGTTATTTATATGATAGTAAGAGAGTGCTAACACACCAACCATATTTTTCTTTGAGAAATAATCTGAAAGATCTACGACTAGTTAGACTCAAAAAATTTGTTCGTACAGAGAAGAACAGTTTATGGAGAATAATCAAACACGATGAGATATTGCATAGATGTGCACAATAAGATAATTCGTCATATTCCAAACAACAATGGTTTAAGGAGGCGTTTGGTACAGGAGAAATTTTTATTTATCCGGGAATCTCGATTTTAAAAAATATGATTTTTACATTCAGTTTATGATAATATCTGAAAATTTAAAATTTAAAAAATTCAGTTTCCCAGAAATCCGTGCCAAATCCCATAATTCCTTCGATACGACCAAGGATTTGAAGCTTCATGCTCTTTCTCTTTGGGTACTAACTAATTGATCGAGGAGTAAATTGAAGTCACAAAGCTTACGACTCATAATAAATAGAAATTCTCTAACAAAACTTACTAATCCTTTTTAATTCCTTGAAAGAGAAAGAAAGAAAAAAATCCAATTTTCATGCTCAAAAATATTTAAGTTCATACCTTTCTTACTTCCACAGTTCCACCCCTTCCCCCATTTTTAATTAGTAAATAGAATAATGTTTTTGAATTTTTTTAAAATTTTTGCTATTAATGCTTGAAGCTCCGCATTTCCTGTGTTTTAGGGATGAGTGTTAAAAAGGGAACTGAGAACTTTGTCGACAAATCATAAAAACCGGGTAAAGCAATATACGCAAATCGATTTTAAAATTTTAGAAAAGACTTGTTAAAAATTTCTTCGAGAATTCATAAAACATAGATTTTTTGCAAACACGCCATCGTACGATGTTGTGTGTTTCGGTGTTCTGACAGCCTGTCCTCCACTCAAATTATATAAAACAAAACCTATGGTTATGAAAATGTAAAATCATGTAGTGAAAATGAAGTTTTAATTTACAACCTAATATATTTGTATTATTTTATGATAAAGAAAAATGTAAAAAGAAATGAAGCGTAAATAATATAATTAGGTGAAGATAGGGGGCTATTAAGGGATGTTTGGAGAATTCATCAAAAAAAAAAAAAAAAAAAAAAAAGGGATGTTTGGAGGGAAGAGGGTCGAGTGGTATTTTGCCACGTCATTTGCATTTTCTTAAACTCGTTAGTCTTTCACTTCTCATTTGCCATTAAATGGGAAGCCGACAATTACTTTGCTTTAAGTACCGCAATTTGGCTCTGTCTGCAAACTGCAATTACACTCTCACCTAATTAAACTCTCTCTCTCTCTCTCTCTCTAGTCCCTATCCATCCTCATCCTCATTCTCCACCTCTTCACTCACCTACCAGTCAGAAAAAATTAATGGACAGCAATGGCAAAGAAACCACAGCAGTTACCCAGACTCGCCTCAACAGATTCACACTCCTCTGTGCTCTTCTCGCTTCCACCAACTCCATTCTCCTCGGTTATGGTCAGTTAATTTCCATCATCTCATTTTGTATATCCTTACATTTTTTTTTATTTTTTTAGGGGCAGAAAAACAAGCTAACCCAAATAAAATGATTTACTTTTATATTTTATTAGGAGTTTAATTAATTGATAAGGAAATGTGTGTGTGTGTGTTTGATGGATGGATGGATGGATCAGATATTGGGGTTATGAGTGGGGCAGCGGTGTTGATAAGGGAAAACCTAAAAATCTCATCAGTGCAAGAGGAAGTGTTGGTGGGAACCCTGAACGTGTTCTCTCTAATTGGATCACTGGCATCTGGAAAAACCTCTGATTGGATTGGAAGGCGTTACACAATTGTGTTGGCAGCTTCCACATTCCTAGTTGGTGCCATCTTCATGGGTCTTGCACCATCCTTCCATTTCATATTAGCTGGTAGAGTAGTCGCTGGTATTGGTGTTGGCTATGCACTCATGATTGCACCTCTCTACACAACTGAACTCTCCCCTGCTATGACACGTGGCTTCCTCACTTCCCTCCCCGAAGTCTTCATCACTCTCGGCATTCTCCTTGGCTATGTCATCAACTATTCTCTTTCGGGTCTCCCTCAAAACTTGGGTTGGAGACTCATGCTTGGCCTTGCAGCCATACCCGCTATTGGTATTGGTTTAGGTGTCATAGCCATGCCCGAGTCCCCTCGTTGGCTCGCTATGAAAGGAAGACTTGACGATGCAAAACGTGTTCTCCTCACTATCTCATCAAATCCTGAGGAAGCTGAGTCAAGGCTTCAAGAAATAACCAAAGCCGCATCCTTGCTCTCAAGCCCAAGCCCAAGCACAAGCCCAATTGGTAATTGGTCTGGCCAGGGTGTTTGGAAGGAGCTCTTGCTAAGCCCTTCTCGGCCCATTAGGCGCATGCTTGTTTCTGCCATTGGGATCAACTTCTTCATGCAAGCCTCCGGAAACGACGCCGTTATATATTACTGCCCGGAGATATTCAAAGCCGCCGGAATTCACAGCAAGAAACAACTCTTTGGGGTTAATGTGATCATGGGTTTGGCTAAGAGCTTTTTTGTTTTGCTTTCTGCACTCTACTTGGACAAGTTTGGAAGGCGGCCTCTTTTGTTGTTGGGCTCATTTGGCATGGCGGTGTCCCTGTCTGGCTTGGGCCTGGGCTCAAAGATTCTAGAGGATTCAACCAGGAAGCCCGTCTGGGCTGTTGTGTTGTGTATCGTGGCTGTGTGTGCCGATGTTTCTTTCTTTTCTATTGGGCTTGGGCCCATTACGTGGGTATACTCATCCGAGATTTTTCCAATGAGGCTTCGGGCACAAGGTTCAAGTCTTGCAATTTCGGTGAATCGGTTGGTGAGTGGGATAGTGTCCATGACGTTCTTGACCATATCCAAGAAGATAACATTTGGAGGAATGTTCTTTGTGCTGGCAGGGATCATGGTGCTGGCTACGGCTTTCTTTTATGTATTTATGCCGGAGACCAAAGGCAAGTCCTTAGAAGAAATGGAAACTCTTTTTGAGGATAATAATAATAATAATAATAATAATAATAATAAGAAACATAGTAATGATAGGGGGACGGAAATAGAAGTTGTTTAGGGGGAGGTGTTGCTAGATTCGGGTATGTGTTTCCTTTCTCCTTTCTGATTACCCGATATTTTATCTTAAATCGCAATTGCATTGCTGATTATATCTGAATCTAATTAAACAAATTCTAAGCACGATCAATTATGCTTTTAGCTACAAACATTTACGAAATTGTGCTTAATGCTAGAAAAAAGTACGAGGCAAGTAGCATTATACCCCAATATTAATGTTCGTAAGTAAGTGACAGAGAAATTTTTTAATGAGATGCCAACGTTCAACTGGATGGACAGGAAAATAAAGGACCAGAGTGCAAAAAATTTCAATCCCAGCGAAAAATATATATATATATTTGTAAGTCTCTTTGAGAATGAACAACACTAAGTACAATTAATCCCCACACAAAAAATCACCAAAACACAAAAAAACATATTACAAAAAGTAACTTCAAACTGTATGTTAAGAACCTTGAGGTCATCACCTTAAAAACTAGCTCAAAGGGTGGGAGTGACCAAGGCCTTATAAAGATCACATTAGTTGCTCATACAATCAATGTGGGACTATATATCTCAACACGCCCCCACACGCAAGAGCCCTTTGGGCGAGAAGCGTGGAATTGCACAGGCCCAATTTTTGGTTTACCTTTTTGTGCTTTTTATTTTAATTCTACCTGAAAATGGGAGGCGGTGAGGATCGAACTTGTGACCTTATAATCACTCAAGCTTTGATACCATGTAAAGAACCTTGGGATACACCACCCCAAAAGCTAGCTCAAAGGGTGGGAGTGCCCAAGGTCTTATAAACTCCACATTAGTTGTACATACAACCAATGTGGGACTATATATCTCAACACGCCCCCTCACACGAGAGCCCATTGGGCTTGAAGAGTGGACAATGCAACAGGCCCAGCCTACCTGTGCTAAGAAACGCCACAAGAGAAAGTGGGGGGCGACGAGGCTCTGATACCATGTAAAGAACCTTGGGATACACCACCCCAAAAGCTAGCTCAAAGAGTGGGAGTGCCCAAGGCCTTATAAAGGCCACATTAGTTGCACATACAACCAATGTGGGCCTATATATCTCAACACGTCCCTCACACGAGAGCCCAATGGGCTTGAAGAGTGGACAATGCAACAGGCCCAGCTTATCTATGCTAAGAAACGCCACAAGAGAAAGTGGGGGACGGCGAGGCTCTGATACCATATAAAGAACATTGGGATACATCACCCCAAAAGCTAGCTCAAAGGGTGGGAGTGCCCAAGGTCTTATAAACTCCACATTAGTTGCACATACAACCAATGTGGGACTATATATCTCAATACGCCCCCTCACACGAGAGCTCATTGGGCTTGAAGAGTGGACAATGCAACAGGCCCAGCCTACATGTGCTAAGAAACGCCACAAGAGAAAGTGGGGGGCGGCGAGGCTCTGATAGCATGTTAAGAACCTTGAGGTCACCACCCTAAAAGCTAGCTCAAAGAGTGGGAGTGCCTAAGGCCTTATAAAGGGCACATTAGTTGCCCATACAATCAATGTGAGACTATATATCTCAACACTGTAGTTACCAAGTTTTACGGTATTTAAGGAGGCATTTGATTCAGGTTTTCTAAATACTTTCCTATGCATCTAAGTTTGGCAAAGTGTGTAAGCCATGTTTGGTAGCGAGATTTAAAATTCCCCCCGGGTACCATATTTGCATAGCGTTTAGAAATGCTTGCAAAATTCATATAGAAGTCATTATTTAGAAAGACAATTTGGAGGTGGTATTTGGGTTTGACAAGTTAAATGGGCAAGAAGGGAAAGCTGATGCAGACCAACACACACTGGTTTGAGACTTTACACAACGGATGTTGTCCAACACACACTGCACTAAGACTTTACATAACGGTAATTTACATTCAAAAAGTTTTAAAAGGGGTATTTTAGTATTTTTAATCAATTTTTCCATCAATATTTTACTTTCAATCAAATATACACTCCGAAAATTTAATCCAATTTTCTCATTAATATTTCAGTATACCAAACAATTTTTTTTAAACTTTCCTACTAAAATCACTTTCCGACAAAGTAATTCTATTTCCTGCAAAAAAAAATTTCTCCGGAAACAAAAGAACCCCCTGAGATTAGGTGAGTGCCCGTGCCACTGAGTTACAAGCTTATTGATAAATTTAGTATTAACCATAAAGAGGAATGCTCTTCAATACATCCCTACGTTGCTAAAAGGAATATGGGTATCAAAGTTAGCATCATGGAGAAACTGAATGACTTTCAACAATCAGAAAATTGAATGCTTCCTTGTTTGGCCTCAGGGAGAAATACTGAGACCTAACCTGCTTTTCTGTTTTACGAGAAAAAAAACATGACTCAGTTGCCATCCCCATGGACTTGGTTGGTCCCTAATGAACCAGCACCCTGGGGTTGTTAATTTGCTAGTTTTATCTGTTGAATGATAAAGAAAATGGGAAAAAAACGTGTGTGGATAAAAGACAGCTACAGTTTGAGTCACGGGTGCTGAATCCTTGATAAAATTGGCTACTCTGCTCCTCAGATGCGGGTTGACATTAATCTAAGTCATATGGCAAAGAGGGTATACGAAATTCATGTTCCTAGTCACTTTTTGCATTGTTTAGTTTATCGAAATGGACATATTTTAGCTTCTGCTTCGACTTTAAAATCACTGGTTTGTACCATTTGCGAAAGCATCGGCTGGTGTCTGCAACTTACTTCGCTTGTGTCTGCAACTAGCTGGTTTCAATTCAAAACTTTAAACATATATTATACTCCGCTCTTTGATGAAGCATCAGTGTCCAGACTTTTGCTCACGGTGTCATTTTGGTTCAATGCCCTTGTCTGATTCTGCAAGACAAAACAGTTCGATACAAACTTAACGTTAGGGGATTTGAAATATTTACCTAATCACTTCATTCACTTGTAAAAAATATACTATGCGTTACGTGTGGGATTTGAAGCATTACACAATGTGTCACGTATGTATAGCCAATAGAAAGGACAAGCACATGAAATTGTGCATAAAGAGAAAAATAAGAGTATACTACATCAGGACCATACGTCATGATCCAAATGTCAAACACTAACACCTCCCTTTGCTTTCATTGACAAGCCATAAGCTAACAAAAACAGGGCTCAGAGCCTTTTATATAATCATAAGCAGAGCAAATCGGAGCAACAGTGTGTCAAGAAATCCATGTAATTGTAAATGTTTCTTCTTGTCATTAAGTTCACGTGAATTTCAAAAGCTGACTGTAACTATCCCAGACTGTCTGTTAACCCTTGGTTGGTGGGGCATTTGAAGGTAAAGGGTAAGAGCTGTTCTCTTCCATGTGTCGTTATGTGTTTGGAAGCTTCCAAGACTTTGAGATTCTCTTCGGAGAGAGAAAGGACTTGACCTCTTGATTTCAAGTACACTTTTTTAGTGCTAGTGTTTAAATGGGATATAGGAAAATAAAGAGGGTAATAGAAGGGATTATCACCCTTAATTTTTTGGGGAAGCTAAGTGTAGTACTTTGTTAAGATTCAAGTTGGTGTAGCCAAAGACTTCAAACCTCTAATCTTGTCTTCTAACTACCGGACGAGTCGAGCAAGACACGAGCATGTTGACAAAGTTACTAAATAATATCAATTTAGATGGGAACATGGGAAAGATGACAATATTACCTTTGTCCTCCACTCCCGTATCTCACATATCGAAAATCAAATTTCCCTCATTCTCTCTCTCTCTCTCTCTCTGAAACATTCACTATCAACTTTTGTAGCTTTCTTCCAAATTCAGACTCAGAGAACTCAAAAAATGTACTTGGGAGCTCCCACCCACTTCTTACCTCCTTAAATCCAATTAAAAAGAAAAAGAAAAAAAAGAGCCAAGATCAAATGAAAAAAATAATAGATGATAGGTTAGGTTGATTGGTCTCTAGTCCATATATTTTTGAAATCTATTTTCTTGGTTTTGGGGTTAACGTACTTGTAGAAATTATTTGAAATATGCAGCAATCTGAAATGGAAACAACCCACCATTTTGATTGAAATGATTTGGTCAAAAAGTCACTATTCAACAATTGGTATATGGGATGCTCAGTTCCTTCAGTTGAGTACTGTAAGTATAGGTACTAGGTACTATTTGTTAGTGCCCCGCAAGACCCTTCCATGCCCATCTGTAAGCAATAAGTAATACAGCATTCAGCTTCTGTTTGGTTCGGTAGAAAAAAAATTTTACTAGAAAAATGTAATTGATAGAAAAATGATTGAAAAGTGAGTTTGATAGAAAAATGTAAAAAAAGTTGTTTAGTTGACCCAAATATTACCAGGAAAATTTATTTAAATATGCAAAATCTATGTTCGGGAGAAACTTTGCACCTGTTTTTTCACTTCCCCAGTCATCTCACAATACCACATCTCAAGTGGTATTCTGTAACAGTGAATTTCATCCAAAAATCAACACAAAAGTCATTTTCCCATCTATCCTATTTGTCTGGTATTTCTTAAAAAAACCTGAACCAAACGTGATATTTTCCAATATGCACCTACACTTTCCCATCCATCCTAAAATAAACCTTCACCAAACACTACCTAATTGTCTTTCCTTTCCTGAAGCATATTCTGAAGGTTGTTGAGCTTGCAAAGGAGCACACCGCAAGAAAATGGGCTACCCAAACCTATATAATATTAATAAAATGGGATTTTAAGATTTTTTTCTCTTCTTTTTTTTTTGGGAGAGGAGGGTTTGTAATTTTGTATTTAGAGGGGACACCGGAAATAATTTAAAAATGCTGTTATATAGTACCTACAGACATTATATCTCATGTGAATATATACTTATCCGTGACCTTCATTAAAAATAATCAAAGACTAAAAAACTATTAGGTGGGCATGTCATTAAAAACCTTATTAGCTTGCTATTTTGTTATACTGTCCATCAAGTAGCTAGATGTGAACAATCGTCTGACATCTAACAGAAAAAGTAATTGAAAAAGCTTCCACCCTTCCTTGTTTGAGTTTGTATTGAGAAAGAGGAAAACAATGAAAAAATAAGCAAACATGCGAGAGTATTTCATTTTGGTTTTAAGTCACAATATATACTTTCCAAATATAAAGAATTAAAAAATAAAAGGAAGGCACTTTATTGCTTAGTTTGTTTTAAAGTAAATCTTTTGATATAATACTTTCAATCTATCACGGGTCTATGTAGAAGAAATCAAGTTTAGGTAAAGATTCTTAAACTGTTATTGAAAAGGCTATGTTAATGACTTAATGTGGCACTTTAATTTTATTTTTCTTATTGCGTATTACTAGGAGATACCGGCTCGCTTTTTCTACCATTTGAATTTCAAACACCATTAAGCGCTTTGAGCTAGTTCAATTTATGTCCTTGATCCTGGTCCCCTACCACCATGTATGTCCCAGAGCAAACATGCGCTGCAGTTGAAAATTTATTTTTTGACTTAATTGGCACAATCAGTCAATTACTAGAATAATAGACTTCATTCTCAATATTTTACACGTCAGGTTGAACACCTTTGGTATTATGCAAGGAAAATATTTTTCTCATATTGTATGAGAAAATTTATCTCATGTTTTATATTTATCAAAATTTGAATCAATATTTTATTTTTAGTTGTGAGACTCACTTAATTATATCTCTATGTAAGATAATATTATCTCATATAATATAAGAAAAATATTATCCATTATCTAAACTTCTTGGCTCTCCACTCAATTTCCAGGGAAGAAAAATTAAAAAAAGGAAAAAAAGCATTATAAATCTTCTTCGTGATGCGATCTCTTGTAGAAAATTTTTAGTGATCCACGACCATTGAAAATTAGATGATCCTTTTTTCAAAATAAAAATATTAATTTTTTTAATTTTATTTTTATAATTCTCTCTTAATCCCCTCTCTTTTTTTTCGGAAAGGGGTATGGTGCTCTTGAAGCACCAAAAAATGTTCTCGATCTCTCGAGTCAGAAATTGTGCGAGTTATTTAAAAAAAAAAAAAAAACTATGCCAGTGACTATTTTATTTTATTTTTATTTTTTTTAGTAAAAGTAGTGACAATTTTTTCTCTCTAAGATAATCGAAAAAATTTCTTGTCCTGCAAGCCTCACCCATGCGGGCATGTCCTGGTGTTGGTACTTATCCAGGAAGCTTTGTGCTTTTCAGAGTTTCACTCATACCAGTAGTTGAAGTTAGAGCGTAACATAAAAGGACAAAGGGTAAAATTTACTCCCAACAAATTTGAATTCTCCTATACGCCAACTATTTATTTTACACCTTAACTTGAGGAGTTGAAATGGGTAAAATTTGACAAAAGGCTCCATGTGATTTGTTAAAAAAACAAAGTAAATCATAGTATAAAAAATTATAATTTGTTTAATTTTTATAATAGTACTAATAATAAATAAAAGAACAGTTTAAAGAATATTATACAATTCTAATTATTTTACCAATTTAATCAGGTTATAAAATTTTATTCACGGAACATAAAAAAATTCTTTTTTATTTTTCTTTTTTTCTAACTTTAGTGCATAATGAATAACAGAAGATATTTCACCAAAAAAAGAAAAGAAAAGAAAAGAAAATATTATAATAAATTTTAGATAAAGGAAAAAAATGTCATTCAAGTCAAACATTTATGCTGAAATGTAACTTAAGAAGGTCATAAGTATACTTTTTAATGCATACTATACTAGAGCTTTTATTTATTAGGAAAAAGTTAAACCCGGTGGCTACCTACATTAAAGCATGAAGGTCAATTTCAACTGTTGCAAGTGTTAAGTAAACAAAAACAAAATTGTGTCATTGATCCACTCACTGGACAATCGGGACAGAGAAGAGGACGAGAAAAAACAGCAAAAAGTTGCATCACTCTCTCTTTTTTCTCCCTTTCTTTTTAAATTTATAATAATTAATACAACTTTCAGTTTCTCATCCCTTTATAACTCTCCCTCCTCATTATTCTCCTTCAAATAACTCACTCCTCTTTTCTCTCCCCATTGTGGCTCTGTATTCCCTCACACTCCTCCATGGAAAATCAAAACAAGCTCAAAATGCGAATCTCTCGCGTTTTCCGATCCTCATTCGGTTCCTGCAGGACCCGAAACTTAACTGATGTAATGGAAAAAGCAGTGTTTGCACCACCCAACCACCGTGGCTTCCACCTGATCGAGCCACCATCTCCCAAAACTCGACCGTTTCCACCCATTTGCAGGCCCAAAGGGTCTGAAACCATCGATGACCGATGCTTCGTTTCTGTTAAGGATTCTCTTCGCAGACGCAAAATCTCAGAGTGGTCATCACCCTTTGTCTTGGGTGGCAATGGCAATGGCAATGGAAATGGAAGCCTCAATGGCAGGTCGTGTCCCCCAGCTTCACCAAACACCACCTTCAGCACTATCCACGAGAACCACTTCGGTTTCGATGAGAAAACAAAGGTTTCAGCAAGAAACCTAAGGAACAAGAAGAAAAAGAAGAAGAAGCATACCCAGAAGAAAAGCAAGGCCAGAGAGATGTTCCCGTTTAACTCTTGTGCTAAAGATACAAACTTTGGTGGGTATTGGTGGTATAGCAGCGATGATGAAGACGATGAAACTGACACCCTTTTCTCCTCCAAGAGCCTGTCTTCTGATTCCTCAAGGTCTCGCCGCCGGCACCCTTCACGCCGGAAAAATGACCGGAGTTCTGAGATGGGTGTTCTGCCATTGCACGGGAAGGTGAAGGACACGTTCGCGGTGGTGAAGCGCTCGAGTGATCCATACAATGATTTTAGGACGTCGATGGTGGAGATGATTGTTGAGAAACAGATATTTTCGCCTGCGGATTTAGAGAATCTGTTGCAGTGTTTTCTGTCACTGAATTCGGATCATCATCATAAGATCATTGTTGAAGTCTTCACAGAGATTTGGGAAGCACTGTTCTCTGACTGGCTTTGATATACATATTTTGAAGGGGGAAAAAAAATAAGAGGGAGAAAGAAAATAGCTATCTAATCTTCTTTCTCTCTGTTATTTGTGTTAGTTTCTAAGGATATTAGTTTAGTTCTTCTAACTTAGTATGCTTGTATGATATTCCATCTGCTGCTCAATTTACTGAGTTTTACTTCTTTACTTCCATTTTCATTGCTAGACATTTTGTCTCTTTACAAACTGAAGCTGAATCTTCTTCATCCGGTGTTTGTTTATTTTGTTTTGTTGTTTCTGTTTAAGTCTTCGTATGGATATACTGACACAGAACTGTATTTGCAAATGTGGTGGTAAAATTGTGAAAAGACCTAAAAAAAAGGGGCACATGTTTTGTTTTGGGGAGTGCCAGCCTTTTTTATCCTTAGCTGGTGTTTGGTTGATAGTTTTTTTAGAGGATATCTATGTTTCTTAAGTATGGCTTTTAGAAATACCATGTTTGTTTCAATATTTTTCACCAAAAACCCATCTATCCAATTTGTCTGGATTTATGAGAAAGATAGATATCCGCACTGTTTAGAAACCCAATTTGAAGGTGGGATTTTTCAGAAAACCGGTTATCTGACTTTTAATGCACTGTTGATTTCATAAAGTTACCTAATTTTCCCAGTAAAGTTTTTCCCCACCAAACAACTTTTTTTTACATTTTTCTACCTATCTCACTTTATCTATCTTTCCAATCATTTCTCTATCTATCTCATTTCCCTACTATTCCAAAAAAATTTCCTGAACCAAACGCCCCTTTGGAAAAGATTGCCCAATGGAAATGGGAAAACAAGGGAAGGGGTCTTGCATGTGTCCTCTAGGTTGCACTTCTGAGTTCTGACCCTGAAGCTTGAAAAAGATGGCGATGGGATGCTTTTTTTTTTTTATTTGAATGAAGGAAAATGCTTGAAAACACCAAAGCTGTCTTACTCTCTCTCTCTCGTGTTGTTTTATTGGACCTTTCGAAATGCTTTTTATTCGTATGCGCCAAAAGAATACAAAAAGACTTTGCTCGTTTTCTATAGTGCCCCCAGAAAATAAGAGAAAAGGAAGAGGCGCTTTTGTCTTTCCATTGTAATTAGTAGGTTATCATTAGATGAGAGGCCGCTTAGTGTTGGAGATACGCTTAGTAGGGTAAAAAAACCACGCTTCTTACTTTAATATTATTATTTAACTCTTGGGATAAAAGTGAGATCTGCATTTGATTAAGTCAAGTCAGGTAACAAAATATGGATAAACTTCATAAACTAATGATAACTAATAATATTCTAACACCCCAATTATACTTACAAATTATTATTAAGGGTTTAACTAATAATATTCTAACTAATAATATTCTAACACTCCAATTAACATCCCCAAGGAATAGGTGTTAAGTTTATTTTAAAACCAAATTATTATTATTTTTAAGAGTTTAACATTTCTGTTTTTATCGTATAAATAATTTCTACGTCAAACTCACATAAAAGTAAGTGAATCACGTTAATTTATTTTTTTTCTTCTTTATAAAATAGGGTATTTATTTTTATGTGGAAGTAACAGATAAAATATTTTTGCAGCAAAAGCAAACATATTTTTTCCTATTTTTAATCACGACAAACAAATAGTTGTGCTTAATTTGTAAAAGTGGAGTTTGGGGATGATATTTTACAAATACAATACCTTGTTGGGAATGAGTATTTGGGAATCTTTTGTTAATGGTTTGAGTTTTCTCCTCTTTTCCATTTTTTTTTTTGTGTGTTTTAAATGTGTCCAAGCTGAAAAGGGGAAAAATAAGTCAGGGACAGGAGCCATGTTGACCTTATTTCTATAAGAATAATCTACTATTCTCTTGAGACAGAAGAGGATTCACATGATGCAAATATTTCTGTCTGCATCTCTTATTTGAATCCACCTTTTCTAATTAAGAATTGCCAAGTTGGAGAACCAAGATGCAGATATGGTTGAAAAGCAATTTTATTTATCTCTTGCTTCGTGAGTTACTAAGGTAACGTGGGATTTTTTTATTATGATCCTCGTCCATATCATTTTTTGTGATCCTTTTTTATTTTGGGTAAACTTTTATCTCATTTATATATATATATTTTTTTTCAAATTCTCCCTCCACCTTTTTTTATTCTATATTTAGAAAGGGACCTCTTGGGCCCGGATCACAACAAACAACCCTGTGAACAATTATTAGCCAATAGCAGCCAAAAGATTCATTGAATTCTTTTCAAATGGGTATATAAAAAAAAAGTTAATAAATAAGTTAGTAATAATATTGTCACCAGACTAGTGGACAATATAATTTAAAAGTCAATTAAAGCAGGCATCCAAAAATACAGAGGAAAGGGAAAACAATTAGTTAGTTGGTTTAGTATGTTGTTGGCACATACCAAATAAAATATATCATTTTTGGGTTAAAAAACATGTCAAGATTGTGTTTTTTTTTTGGGTACATAAGATTGTGTTATTGACTATATTCATATCTGTCAATGCAATTTCATTATCTTTGAGCAACCAAGAAAGGACAGAACAAACACGCCCCTAACAACAAACATTGTCCCAGTGACAGAGATCATGTTGTTTGTCTTCACTATATACTTCAAAATTTATAGATCTCAAAATAATAGTTGCAAGGAAGGATCTTGGACTGTTCATGTACATATATCAATGACAACTAAAGATATGTTGGGTTCTGATGGGATTATAGATTGCAGCTCCAAGCATCCAACAAACTAATGGAAAACAAGGGTAGCCCAAAAACGAATGAGAATTTTAAATAAAAATGTAATAATTTTCTATTTAAAAAAAAAAAGAAGAAGGGGAAAGGATTGGTCATGTGTTTGTCAGAGGATTGAAACGTACACTTCCTATTCCATTATACTGCCATTGAAGATGAAACATCAATTTGGGGGCGTAACGTCTATGTCAAACAAATGGGTGCTGCTTAAAAACTGAAATGAAAGAGAAGGAACAGCGGAATGAGAAAGTATGGGGGAAAACTGTTACGATGGTTTGCAGAAAACTGTTATGAGGGTTTGCAGAAAGAATATAAAACCAAAACGTTTCTATCTTTCTATTAGTTGTGGGGACTGCATAGCTACTCTCTTTAATGTATCTTTTCCCAATTACCATGATGTGTCCTAACTATGATAGCTATGTAACATAACACACGAGAGAAAACAAAACAAAGTCACAGATGGATAGGGAATTTGCTTTCTCTCCATCTTTCTAAGCAGAATCGGATTTTTTTTGTTTTGTGGCAATCTAGGACGTCAACTTCATTTTGGTGACAGATTAAACAGCAAAAAGACCGTAGAGGTGTGTCCCCATTTGCCTCAAATGGAAATCAAATTAAAGAATGTCTGCTAGTGGTGAATCCATTATGTCTTGGTTTGGTTGCCACTCTCATTAATGATCGCATTTTTTGGGTTCTTGAGCCCCAAATCTCCTTGTCAATGCACACTACCAAATATGTGCAATTAATTTTTGGCCATAAAAAGCGCCAATTAATTAGATTCATGGGGTGTCGGTTTCTGAACATGGACCTCTTCAGCACATAATTGGGCTGCCCATAGTACCCTTCCTCTTTTTGTCATTTAATTCCTAAGGTTTCCTATGGTCTAGCTTAAAATTGTCGCTGTCATATACTATTATTTATGGGAAATAATACTCTCATGCCACATGAGATACTCTCATTTTTCTACACAAATTCGTTTTCCGTGCCAAATAATTTTTCTTTTCTTTTTTAATATAAAATATGGGACCCACATTTAACTTCTCTCTACTTTTTTTCTCTCCTACAATCCTACAACATAAGAAAAGCTAAACCCATTATTTATTTACAACAAGTTGTTAATATTTGAAATTGGATTTGTGATTGTGTATTAACAAGAGGAATTTCAAGGCTTTTTGACCAAATAATTACTTTTTATATTAAAAAAACTTATTTAATTCACTTTTAAAAAAATATTTCAAGCTAACGCAATCAATTCTGCATGTTGGTTGTACGAGACAAGTCTTGTATATCAATGATGCATGACTAAATGTCAATATAAAAGTTTCGCACGTTAATGAAGAACATTTTAGGTCTCGCACGTTGATTGTACGAGACTTAATGCCAGCTTGTAAGTCTCACAAATTTGCAATAAAGTATTATATATTTGTCATGCTGGACTGTCAAGCTAACGTTAAGTCTCGCATGATTAACGTATGAGACTTAAAAGAGTGTCGTGTGATCAATGTGTGAAATTTTCATATTAACATTAAGTTTCACACCGTTAACTTACAAATTTGTCATGTACAACTAACATGTGAGATTAATAGCATGAGTTTGAAATTTTTTTGAAAAATAAATTAAATAAATATTTTTTTGAAAAAAAAAGACTCTGGTTTCATAAAAGAAGTCAGAATTTCAAATATAAATTTATATATTTTCATGAATACCAGGTTTATAACAATATATTGAATGCTAATGTAAAAAACTAATAAAAGTCTATAGCATGCTATTAACTATACTGTGCGTGAAATTTTTTAAGGATGCACAATTTATTTATTTTTTGAGATAAAAAATTTAAAATTTTATCTTCAATTGGCCTTTCAAAAGCTCTCTTTAAAAAAGTATTAACTAATCAATTTTGCTATTTGGACTCACTCACTGCTTTATTGTAAGGATGATAAAATCAAGTAGGCCTTATAACATAAGAATAAGCGGGGTTTATCGATTTGATATAATAATTTTATTATTGGTTTTTTCAAATGCACCCGTAGCTTTTGTCTTTGTTGGTTGTGCGTCTTGACTCTCGCTCACGAGACCTTAGGGATATTGAATGATTTAGTTGTCTGGTAAATGATTTAAAGTTATACATAATTATTTGTCTTATTTCATCTTTTTTAAAGTTAATAAATAATTATTTTTTAGAAACAAACTAATAAAAAATCCAAGCATGCAATTATTGTTGTCTTTCTCTCTTGCAATTCATGGGTTTTAAACTTTTGATAGTCTGCTATAATTTATTGAAAGAATAATGTCAAATATTGATGATTGAATTTTTTCAATGTTCGTTGTTGTAATATATAAAATTTTCAAATTAGGTACTGTATATATACTAAGTTATTTACTCCACTCTTATAATTTATTAAAAGAGTGATTGTACATGAATTTATTTTTTCAAAATATTATTAAAGATTATAGAAAAAAAATAATTACATTTTTTCCGTAAAATCCTATGTGGTCCGAACTTTTTTGGTGTGTAGTTAACTTTGAATGGATTTCAAATTCTGACTTTTCACATAAAATTTTATTTACTAATTACTGACTAAACCACAGCTCATGTCCAGGACATGGGGATAGATTTAACTAAACATTCCTTAGCTTTGCAATAAATGTTGTGCTTAAGTAGTGTTGATGCAATTAAGCAAATCTTATCTGAAGTGAGTACCATGTAGCAAGGTATAAAGATACTAAGTGGGTGCATCAGAAAACAAAGTTTGAGAGATTGAACGGTGAAACCTCTCAAACTAATACGATTGTAATGTTTGTAATCAATCGTATTGTAAAAATTAAACACGAGTATAGACTGTAGACTAACGTCATTTTCTTCATTTTATTTTTATTGGATGCAGATGGGTTCCTAACCCTTGAGATTAGAGAAAAGAGATGCATCACCATTAATCTCCATTCACGTTCAAACTTGCGTCTTTTTTTGTCAAGCTCTCTGTATCTCCAACTATCCTATCTGATTTGACGTTTTTGTTGGTTACTGAATCCCCTCAGCTCAATTCTTGCCACTTATATAAATATTATTTTAATTTAAATATAAAAATAATTTCTGTGTTTTTTCATTAATGTATAAATTTATAAAATATTATATGAGAATTTTATTATATATATATTTATAAATTTGATAACTCAATATTATCTTTAATTCATTGATTTTGCAGGAGCTATCAGATAATTAGCTACTAACTAGGTGGTAATCACGATTCACGAGTAAGTACATGTAAGACAACATTGTCTTCCTTTTTATATGGTACTATTATTAGGAAAAATATTTCATAGTCCTTTTTTATTTTTCCTTCTCTCTCCTCTCTTCTTTATTTCTCTCTCACTTTCTTTCTTCCCAGCCCACATATGTCGGACGACTAAATATTCACTCATATTATTAATCATTTTATGGCAATTGTGGTCCACATAAGCGGTGTTTAAAAACTCGACCTGGCCATCGACTCGGCCAAAGTCAGAGATTATGGGGTCATAGGTTTAATCAGAGGGTCACGGGGTCACTTTATTGACCCTGTTTGATATATTAAATTTTTTTAAATATATATCCTATATGAAAAATTAAAAAATCAAACCATCAATCATCAAAGATTCAAAATATACTTAATATAATTCAACCAATTATATCCACAAGTCAAAATTACACAAGTTAATCAAAATATCAATCTATCAAAGTATAAAACACATGTTTCAATGGAATTAATGAAAAGTTATATCATCAAACTTAGACGCTTCTTGTCCTTCTCACTCACCTCCAACATCATGTGTAAGGAGATCCCTTACCCAAGAGAGAACGGCGGAGGAGAGGCGGCGATCCGACAAATCAATGGTGAGAGAGAAAATCTAGCACGGTAGAGGAGAGAGAGAAGACCAAAAAGGATAGGAGGAACCACTACCACGACGGAGGAGATAACCAGATCAAGGAGACTGGGTCTGGGAGAGAAAATCAAAAGAGAAGAAAAAGAACTAATATTATTAAACCCGGACGGTCATCGACTTGGTCGGGGTACTGGATTAGTGGATCACTAGTTCAACTGCATGACCGGATATGTATATAAATTTATATTTTATAATTAATTATATATTAAATATTTTAAATGGTGCAAGTGAACCAAGAACCAAATGTAACTTAGTGGTAGATACTATGATTTATATCTTCATAATAAGAGTTCAATATTCACTAGATGCAACTTTTGAAACAATTCTATTAAATGATATGAAGCCCGATGATAATTAGTTGTTTGCAATTCTCATGAGACACAAGATCGAATCCCAGCGGCTGTAACATAGGAAATATTTTTTCCAAAATCGGTACCCGTTGAACCGCGGTTGACCATCGGGTTGCCGGGTCGATACCGAGTCAATAACATATCCGGTCCATTGCTAGAATGGACCGGTTGATGGGCTAGTTTCCAAGCCAACCATTCGGATCGACCGGGCCGGTCCAGTTTTAATAACACTGAGAAGAAAGATTCGGATTTCAGATCTAGTTTTTTGGTCCACTCTCTTCTCCGTTATCTATCTCTTTCTCTCACTTAGAATGACACAACTTTACATCCTTTAAAATGACACACATTTTTTCTTTTTTTTATACACCAAACGACATCCTTTCATATGTAACTTTTCATTTTAAAAAAAAATGCAGTGACCCCCCTAACTCCGAAGTTACGGGTTCAATGGGGAGATTTTGGGAGTCGGAATGATCAACGTACATGTAGTGTCCAACTATTGATGCCAACCCTTGAAGAAAGAAAATTAGTGACCCGAGGGGTCGACCTCGGAGTAGGTTTTAAAACACTGCACATAAGGTGGGGGACATACGAAAACTAATTAAGGCCATGAGCTCTTAGCAAGGAACATATATTTTTCACCAATAATAGAAAAATATATATATAAAGAAAAATAATTATGAAGATAATGATAATATAAATGTTATTTTTTCAATATTTGATAAAGAATATATCGAATAATCGGTAAAATCATAGTATTAAAAATATTTTCCTCAGCAAAACGTGAGAGATCAGCAGAAAAGAAAACCTTAATGGGAGGAGTATGGGACCGAAATCAAAATGCTACATGTTGTTGAAAAATATCTGTAGTACAATGCAAATGATACAGTAGGTTGACTAAAAGTTGTGGCGCCAAATTCCGTAAAATAATTGTTGTGTGACAAATGACCAATATATGTAAGACTACACGTATATATGTATGACATAGACAGGAGAGTAAACAAGAAGGATATTAATAATGCATTTATTTTCAAAGGCGTTTATCAAAAGCATGACTTGAATTTAATAAAAGAGTTGCTAAATACTAGATCACATAAGTGAACCACGAAATACCATGCAATGTGTTTCGTAGCTTCTGATTTCGTCTAAGGCCTGAGTTTTGTACATAATGCCAATAAAATGTGTGGACAAACATGAGGGCTGCATGTTTTGCAAACAAATCGGACTGTTAAAGGAAGGTTAATTCTGGGAGTGCACAAGGAAAATTGTTAAGACCCCGTGTTCCCAACAATTACATCTTAAAAATTGTTTTTCCGGACAATTTATACATGTGACCTCACTCTAATATCAAATGTGTTAGGATCAAGCACATAATGTTGGGTTCTATCAAATACAAACCCAACATTGTCCTAATGATTTTTTTAACCACTTGTATACAGAACGTCAAAACCTCACACTAGGATGAAGGACTATAAGTTAATGCCAATAATGATCGGGCTATTAAACCCCAATAATTAATCATGTGGCCGAACATACAATATTACTATGAATGAGGATATTCTAACTATAAAAAATTCTTACTACTAACTTACTACCTATCACATCACCATTGGATCAAAGAGAGAGAATGTTAAAAAGTTTTTGAAGAGAGAAAAAATGTTAATCTAATGGTGATTAGATAAGTAGTAAGTTAGTAGTAGAAAATTTTGGTAGTGAAAATATCTCTCCTCTGTTACTATAACCCTAACAGCTTTTATCTTGTATTTTTTTTTTAAATACATTGAGAAATTGAATACACAACTACCTAAGCCCCTCACCACTAAGCTAACCTAATGGGTTGCCTTTATCTTGTATTCAAACTTGTATCACATTCAACTTCTTAAGAGATAGGCTAGTTAATTAAACCCGTAGCATGGTCTATTTAACCAATCAATCATTAATATGATCAGTGATTAGGAGAAAAACTGCCATAAAAATATTAGAACAGAGCTTTTCTAGAACGACAAAATTCAACAACCACCCGCTCCTTTCATTCCCCCAAAGAGGCTACACACCAACTCCACCATCAAAAGTGAAAGCAATGAAACTTTATAAAATTTATTTATAAAGGAACGCACAGAGTAAATATGAGTGAGAAGCCGAGTTTGGAAGTTGTGGGGTCCCGTTAAGAAGCAGAAAGAAAACAGGGGCAACAAAGGAGCGTGTGAAGACAAAAGAGAACAATAAAGCAAGGGAAGCCGATGACAGAAAAGGTAATTCCGTTGATCATTCAAAAAGGAAAAGTTAAAGCATCTTTCATGGCTCATCTGCTTCTATCATATGTATAAAGAAATAATCACTGAGATCATATACAACTACAACCTCAAAATAGACACATTTACATTGGCACATATTGTTCTGTGTCCCTTCTAGGCACCACAGTACACAACAGAAAATCTCATTCATACAGGAATCAATACTATAATTGTCATCACCAATGCTGCTAGGAAGCTCCATTTCCAACACCAAGAAGTTTTTCCAAAAGACTCTACAGAACTTCAAGTCTTTCTTCTCTCCTGGTTACCAAAAGCTTCCCAAAAGACCTCCCCACAATCACACCTCTTATTCTGTGGCTGCGGCTAGTGTCATGGATATGGACAATGATAACCCAAGTTATCAGGACTTGGAGAAGTTCTACAGTGACTTCACCGAGCAATGGGATTCAGAAAAAGAGAAGGCTAGGAGAAAAAGCAAGAAGAAAGCAGTGTTATCATCTCCAGCAAAGCAAGAAAAGGAGGTGCATAATGAAAGCTTCGTTGGCTTGAACAATGCAATCCCTGCGCAGAAGAACAATCAGATGGAGAAAAGAGAGGAATATGACAACCAAAAGAACAAGAGCACCTTAACTCATCAAAGGGGAAAACAGCAAGATTCATCATTAACTTCTATGTGTATGAGGGAAAATAGAAATTGCATGGTGGAAAAAAAGCTGAGAGAATTGGAAATGTTGGACATGAGCAATGTGGATTATATACTGGACATTGAAGAGGTTCTACATTACTATTCTCGACTCACTTGCCCTGCATATCTTGAAATTATGGAAAAATTCTTCATGGAAATGTACTCAGAGTTCTTTGGATGTCCTGCGAGGCCTGCTACACCTCGTACTCATAGTATTAACTCTAAGCTGAAGCTGAGATCAATGGGATCTTAGGCTTGCCTTTTGTCTTTTTTCTGAACTTGATCTTAGTATTTAACGTTTCATTAGATGATTCTCATTGCTATTTAACCTTCTGTCCAAGTCCATGGATGGTAATAGCTGTTCGGTGTGTCTAAAATCCAAATTTATTTTGTTTCATTTGTTTCGTTGATCAATGGATCAATTAGACATGCACTTAGATATATATCAAAGTTCAGAATGCATTTTAGCAATTGCTATGTTTTTGAAAAAGTAGATATATTTTTCAATATCTTTTTATGTATGGTGGTGCCTCGGGATATAAAGGGGAAATATTGAAGACCTTTATTAGCTCAATCTGCGGAATGGAAAGGTACTTGAGTCCTTCGAGGAAAGGCTTATAGGCCTATTCTTTTGCTTTCTTTTCCTGAATCCTGATTATATGCATGGATGCTCTTTAAATCTAAACAGATCAGCAGCAAATTCATCCACTATTGCTTATGTAGCACCGACAAGTAGCTATTTATCCCTGTACAATACGATTTTATGATATTAAGGTTTGATAGTATAAACTTATAATATACGTTATGACATTTTCAGTTGTTTGATGTCACCATTGTATAGTATAAGTTTATACAGCAAAACCCCTTAATACGTCAAAATGAATGATGTATAACTTAATTAGGCTTAAGGGGGTGAAATTAAGCATAATAAGGGGTTGATGTATTTTTTTTTTTGGTAATCTAGGGATTGATGTATTAATATTGTTTACAAATACAATTCTCAAGAACTAATATATCATTTCAATATTAATATATTAAAATAAATTTTTTTAATATATTAATTTTAAAAATATTGGAGGATATTATCTTATACAATACCATACCAAACACTGGATAGTATTAAAATTTAATCAGGTCTTATACAATCAGGTCTTATATTATCAGGTCTTATACTATCAGGTCTTATCCAATACACCAAACAAGCCCTAAAGTTAAGAAAAAATTGAGTATAGTCATTCAATTTGAAGAAGTCATTTAAAAAAGTCATTCCAAGTGATTATGTGATTATTAAATACAATAAATATGTTATGTTAGTCATTGACCATAAAGTTTCTATTTTGGGATAGAATATTGTGACACCCAAGTTATGTTACACCCATATGACACCCAGTCAATCTCACCGTTAGATCGCTTATGTTGATCCAACGGTTATATTTATTTCCATCTTTGTATGGTCATGATTTCTCAAATTTAATATTTTATATTTATTTCTACCTTTGTATGGTTATGATTTCTCATATTTAATGCTTTCACTTTAAATTTGGGAAATCATGACCATACAAAGATGGAAATAAATATAACCGTTGGATCAACATAAGCGATCTAACGGTGAGATTGACTGGGTGTCATATGGGTGTAACATAACTTGGGTGTCACAATATCCTATCCCTTCTATTTTTATTAATATATTAAAGAAGTCATTGAAAAAAATGTTTTTTTTCTCCTTAATTGAGGGCAATAGGTATTATACTTGTAATTTTTTTTTTTTTGGAGAATGGTATTACACTTGTAATTAATTGTAAGGTGACGTGTCTCATCACAATGACATTAGAATCCATTGGGTGGTTTTTCTGTTGCATATGAAAATCCTGTCACGTCTTAGTTATTTGTATCTGACACTTTCATACCACAATCTTTAATAATTGCTGAATGAATGTTGAACTCTTACTAAATTTTAATCAATATGAGATTTTCAAATAATATGGCATTATCTATGGGCCTCTTTTCTTGAGTGATAAGGCTTGTTCTCACTATGGGCTGACCCCTTGGAACTTGAAATGGGTTCAGTGTGACAGTAACCATGACATTTTCTCATTTAACAGTTAACAAGGCCTACATAGTCAGCGCCAATTAGAAAACAAAAATGAGCCTTAACCTCTTCAATTAATCCTCACACGCTTTACTTTCTGCTTCGTGAGGCCTAAATGATAGGTGAATGCCTAAATAAGCTGGCCCTTGAATATACATTGATGGTCTAAAGCCCATATATGTTTTATTATGTTCCCATTGATCAAAGAGTATTCTCCCTCTTAGAATGGAGAGATGGTTTTCTATTTTTTTCAACACCGGGAACCCATTTTCCACTTGGGCCATGACGTTAATAAATATAGCGGGGATCAAAGCATGTGCTTGGAATATGTTCACATGATTCAATTGCCATGATTAAAAGTAAAAGAATGCACACACTTGGAGTGGGAAGAAACGTCCAATAGTTTTGAGAATCAATGACCACTAAAGTACAGATTCGAAGGTTCTCCACTATGCATGGTGGATCCCATTTCATCACCCACCTACCAATCAACAAATGAAAGGAAAGCCAGGTCACATGATCAATTCCAGTGAAATGCCCATGTCAATGATGATTTATGATATTGTGCATATATATAAAAGAGTGTGTGAACCGGTATCCATTGATATTCCAAGAATATGGGGTCAAAGTCACGTGGCTTCCACTGAGTTGGAGTCTCCCCTTTCAGGCAGCAGTAGGGAAATGAAGAGATCACTCTTTCACTGCTGTTTCTCTCAAATAGCTCTGTTATGGTAAAATGGAAGCGCTAGCAGTGAATAAAGAGGCAAATTTTCTAGAATTATAATTCCAGCTAGCTAGTAGGTAAGTTCAAATTACGCTCATTGCCCAATTCAATTAATCGCTACTATACTACACACAGGACAAAACTTTAAGAAGTTAATGGAGGAGTCGGCATGATAAATTGTCACTTCCAAGCAATCAGGATAAAATGATGAGAAATTTAAGACACAATGGAAGACATAATATTGTTGACTAATGGACATTTAATGTCTAGATGATATATAGTCGACTTTATAGCTTAACCCCACTCTCGAATGTTATCTTTATTCTTCACTACAGCTGATTGATTCGACACAATCTATCACATCTTGATAGAATAATATATAGGTTATACTCGGTGGTTTGATCACATCATGAAAATAAAAAATAGCTAGAAAACCACATCTTTTTTCCAAATAAATTATTCTTAGTTTTTACTGTTGATTAAATTAAGTTTGGCATGTCAGGCATTGATTTATCTGCACTCTGCAGTAGCAAGTTTGTTTTGTTTTCTCAAGCTATAGCTTTTTACATATAATTTTAAGGTTTTATAAGAGTTATGTTGTAGGAAAAGTGATTGTGTAATATTATAGAGATTCGTTTTGCCGTAGTTTTTTTTTTTTTTCCAAAAAATGTGGGCCCCACAAAATGTTATGTGTGTAGGAAACTTTGTTGTGTCATGTTAAATGACAAATACAAACTCCATAATTTTATGTTATGAGTGAGTGACAAAAACAAATTGAAGGCTATAATGACCCTAAATGGTAAATCTTAATTAGAGATTTAATTTAAGGATTTAAATGCCATAATTAGATTCAGTGAGTGATTCCGAGTATTTTGACTGTAATCATGACTATGTTATGAACAGTGCGTTCTGTCGGAGAATTCACAGTCTCGTGAATTAACCGGCAGAGCTTAAAGAAGCAAAATTATTTTAGAGACATAATTTGACAATTCTGACGACAAATATGAGTTCAGAATGAAAAATTGTATAGTCTGGCACTTTCCGTGAAAATCTCGTGAATAGTGTTTCTACCGGGTATTTTGTACTGCTATTTGAGCAACCGGTAGAGTCCAGAAATAAATAATTGATGAAATAAGAATAAGAAAGTCCAATATATGCCAAGCAAGTCAATATAGACCCAAGAAAATGATAAGTTTATAAGTTTCAAATTTTATAAATAAACAAAGTACAGTTAGTGGGTTTTTGTGCATTTCGTCAAAAACGGTGCAGAAACCACACTGCAAATTATGAATAGTGCTCCTTAGAAAATAAAAGTTAATGTAAATGACTTTAAAAAAATAAAAATATATTAGTATCTTTGAGTTAGATCCGAGTTAGTTTAAGTGAAATACGCGAGAGAAAAACATCCGATTAAAATAATGCCACATGGGCTTAAAAGAACCAAACCACTCATCTCTCATTACCCAAAAAGCATTTTCTCTCTCTTCTCACCCTCCCAAACCCGTGGCTGCTTGGAGATGGAGACCTAGGGTTTTCAAATTTTCTTTCCTTCCATTCTCACTCTTTTGGTCATCAAAAGGAATTATGCCTTACATGAAAGTTATGGGAAAAAGTCCAATGAAGCTATTCCAACCATCAATTTGAGTTATTGTTGAGAGCTGGGTGAGTTTTCCCTCCTCCCAAATCTGAGTTACTATTCATCCCAAGGAAAAAAAAGTGGAGCTTCCATGGAGTTTTGCTTGAGAGAGGTCTCCCAGGCTTTGGGTAGTTGCTTTAAGGTAACAAAACTCTAACCCTATGACTTAGTCTTGTGATTTATGTTGTGAAAAATATTGTGAGCATATTTTGAGTGAGAAATAAAGTAGTTCACCACTTGGATTGATGATAGATTATGAAGGGGTGTTATATAGGAATGGAAGTAAGTATTTGTATATGTTTAAAATGGAAAAAAATCCACGGTGTGGGCTTCCTTTTAATTTCGGCCTTCATAAGATTATGAGGGAATGATGTATAAAATTTTAATCCATGTAGTTGGAAGGCTTCATGTGTTGAAATAAGTGGAAAATTGATGAATGAGTAAGAATACAAAAATAAGAAAAATATTAGGGTGTCATGCCTCTAGGCTAGGCCATAATGTGCCATTGAGGGGTCTATTGTTTAAAAAAAAATTTAATTGGACATAATGTATAAATATGCATGTAGGTGCAAGTTGCAAAATTAAGGAAAAGAAATGGAATGAAAAGAAAGAGCACCCTTGGCCTTTCCTTTAGGAATTCGGCCTTATAGGGTAAAAATAAGGAGAATTAGATTATGTCCTATTTTATTAAAGTGTTGAGTATCCAATGTATGAAATTAATAAGATTATATAGTGAAACGGTCTAGACTTGTGTATTGGCATAGGATTGGCAAAAATACAAAGAAATGAAAAGAAGCGGTAAAATGTATGCCTTATGTGAAAACTAGGCATGATGACATTTTATTAATTGGTATTTGTGGATTCTTGCTCTAGGTGTACCTAGGGACTGAAAAGGAATCAGAATCTCTTGAAGATATATAAGTAACTTGAGCCACAAGTAAGCTGATTGTTAAAGCTTCAAGAGGTAAGCTCTATGTTTAAGGAGTCTTTTCCTGCTTGAGTGCTCCACCATGGTTAGTGAACTATGGTTGGACTGTATGACTGTTATTTAGATGCTTTGTATAGATGCATTCATATAGAGTTATTTGATAACATGATATGTCTTGCTCTGATATGACTTCTGTAATATGATTTCTGTAACAATCTCTGGCCATTGATTGTATAGTACCCGGACGTCCGCTTTGGGGTCCTCCCTCGGGACTGATGGTGTACGCCTCTGATATGTCTGGTTCCGCTTTGGGGTCCTCCCTCGGGAACACGTGCGTTGATTTCCGCTTGGGGTCCTCCCTTGGGAATGACGGCGCACATCTCTGATATGATATGGATATATGCTCTGTTCTGTTATGATATCTGTTATATGTTGTATTCGTATACTTTGTATCTGACTTTCATGCAGGAGTGAGCCAGGGGTATGTAGAATTCTCTATAAACCTGGAGCTTATTGAGATTTGTAATCTCACCCCTCTTTGGGGACACATTTTCAGGTGCCCAGATTCCCGGTGAGTCCTCACTAGGCAGGGACACGACACGTGGCTGAGGCAGTTGACAGATCGGATTTTGAGTGGCTGTAGGCTACTACCTTTTTGGAGTGTTTGATGTATTTTAGTATTTTCGCATTTGATGGATCATGATATTGATCCTTTATTTTGTATATGGCCTGTATATGTTTTGTACACGTCTGTCGCTTTGATGCATGTACATTTGGGTATTCAGGCACGTTATGTGATGAGGTAGTATTCAGATATGTTTACCTGTTGGATTGCATGCTGTTAGATATAGTGGCACTGAGCCAAGTTATGCATGCGCCCATGGATGGGCATTTGAGTATATTTGTATAAACTGTTTATCAGGAAATGCTTCTGTGTGGGATTGGAAAATCCCCAGTTGTCCGATTTATAGAGGAAACTCTGCCCGATTTTCGTTTACGACGAATGAGAATTTAAAAATAAAAAGAAAAAAGTTAGCTCGTATTTTCAGAAGTTAAGTCTTCCGCTGTTTTCTGTTTTATCATATGTATGTTAATTGAACCGGCTCGAGATGGGGATGTTACAAAGGCTCCCAAAGGTGAGGAAGAAAGATAGAGAGATTTCACCAACGTGGAAATTAATTGCAACATCTTTGCTTTGAAATCCCAAAACATGTGGAGTGAGGTTTTGGTGTAAATGATTGAACCGGACAATTTGCAAGTGGTGGTCCATGGAAACCTACTTTGGCCCTGCTCAAGATGAAGCTCTTATGGTTGATATATTTGACAAGTGCACTAAATTAATCACAAAATCAATAAATTAAAGTGTATAGTACAGTATCATTTCTATAAGTATTTGATTGTCAAGTACCAATTCACGAATTCAACTACTACCTAAGCAACAAATTGATTCAAAGAACTCCAAAAGGAAACAAGAAAAAGAAAAACAAACCAAAACAAATAAAAAAAATAAATAGAATTTCACAATAGCAAGTTATGAAATGAACAAACAGTGATAAAGAAATTAGGGATTCAGACTTTACTGGATTTTCTAATTAATATTTAGGATTCTAACTTACTTACGTTTTAATTAATCAATTGATAGGGAGATTTCCTAATTTTAGCTCATACATAATTTCTTGGTGTATTAATTTTACCTATCTTCTATCTTTCCAATGTCACTGGAATCAAGTCAATCACACCAAGAGAAAGTTATGCTCATATACTGAAACAAGTTTAATGGAAAAATTTTCTTTGACCAAGTTTTTTATTTATTTTTTATTTTTCATGAACAGGGAAATAAATCATCTATAAGAATGTAATAAAACTTCTTGAGATTGTTGTAACAAATAAGAAGATTTCTTGAGCACCAATTAAATAACTATATTGACTTTTACAATTCATGGATGTTAGTTTGCCTTAATCAGTTTTGTCTACTTTGCATGTTATTTCTTACCCTCCTAACGCGTGAATAGTGCTTCAATGTCTAGATAAAATTTGTAAGAAATTTTTTCGTTAGCTTTCTGTAGACACTAAAGTAAGCTCAAGGTAATAACAAAAGTTACTATAGAAAGAATGATAATATTTGGAATTTATTTATTTATTTTTCAAAAAAACACATAAATTAAATAAATAAAAAAGATAGATATTTAATTCGATTAACATAAAGAATTCATTTTTCTGCTATGTATATCCGTCCTTCCTTCCATTCCAACAAACTTTTGATACAATAGGTGTGCCGAACTCGGGACACTCATTTACTAGAGTAAAAAAAATTTCACTTTAATCCTTGTTTTTTTTTTATATTCTTCATTATATTTTTTTAAATCGTAAATATCTTTTTTTGGTCCTCAGTAAATTTGACGATACCTGCTTTGGTCTCTAGCAAATAAAAAGAATATTCGTGGTCCCTAAGAAATTCAAAGTGAACCTATTTTAGTCTTTTTGAGTAGGGGTGTGGAAAAAAACTTGTTCACTTGCCCTGCCCTTGACCTGATCTTGACCTGACTCATAAATACCTATTTTTTTTGAACTGGGTTTAAATACTGACCCATTTTTACTTGGGTCAATTTTAGACCTGACTTGTTTTAATAATGACCCATTCATCCAATACTTGACCCACACCCATTATGTGAAAAAAAAAATCACAATTATGGTTCTCTTCTCTCTTCTCTCTTCTCTCTGTCACATTCTCGCACTCCACCAAAGAGGATCTCCCATATGCTTCTCGACTTTTCTTGTGCTCAATCGCGAGCTTCTTGATTAATTTAAAACCATATGGTATGATATGCCTGAATACCTTATTGATGCCATGTTTTGCTATAATGGTATTTGATATTGGCTATGGATTTAACTCTCTGATCCTTTCAACATCGCCTCCTTCATTTCATAACAAGCAGTAGATTTCCTTTCTCTCTATTCCTTCATTTTTTATTTTATTTTAATGTTCATAGCTTTTCTGGTAAAATTTAGGTGCAAGGTAACTGAGAATTTTCATAAATGTCTCATAATAATCTTGAAGGCTCGCTGCATCGAGCTCAGCAAATTAGCAACTATTTCTTTGTTCAATTTTTATTGAGAAAAATGTGTGTCATTTTAAAGGAAAGTTGTGTCATTTTAAGAGAGAGAAAGAGATAGATAAAGAAGAAGAGAAAGTTGACAAAAAAAAAAAATGTGTGGGTCTCACCTCTTTGTGAGAGTGAAAGGATATAAGTGTGTCATTTAAAATGATAAACACTTTTCCCATTTTTATTGGAGTCATTATGTGTGGAGTTACAATTATTACTTTAATGAAAAAGTTTCTATACAACCATTCTACCTATATAATATGTCGCTGTTTATCAATCTAATTCCTTTACATTTTCTATTTTCTTTGTAGTTGATAACTAGAATTATATATGTACAATCATATTAGCCAAGAGTTGTCTTAAACTAATTGATCTTTCGCTAATAATAATTGTATAATTTGGGTTTGAATTTATGAATTTTCTGTCAGTAGACATTATGTAATTTTATAATATATCGTTGTTAAAATTAGTGATTTGTCATCTTAAGATGGGAATAGAGTTCTCGCATCCTTTACTTTTCATTAATTTTCACTAATTTTGCTTCACATGTGCACGGGGCTTAAAATTACATTCCTTTATTTATTCAACAAATATCAAATTTATTATAAAATTTATATATTTTAAAACAAATAAATAATTAAATTACATGAGTTTAAAAAATAAATCAATAACTATAAAAAAATCAAATTAAAAACATATTTTGAAACCAAGTCAAAAACGGGTCAGGTCGGATTTGACTCACTTCAGAAACCAAGTCAAACCCACTTCAGAAATCAACTCAGGTCAGATCTGACCTGGTTCTGAACTAATTCAAAAAAAATTAAACCAAGTCAGACCTGACTTGAATCAAATTAAATCGGGTCGGATCAAAATACCTAACCTATAAAAATCAAGTTGGGTCGAGTCGGCACAAAAACTTGACCCGACCTAACCCATACACACCCCTACTTTTGAGGGACTAATGTGGATCGTTTTTGAATTTGTGAGGGACCACGATTTCAACTAAATTGGACAATTTTAAATTTCTTAGGGACCACGAATAGCCTTTTTATTTGCGAGGGGTTGAAGCCGACATAGTAAATTTTGCTAAGAATCAAAAAGAGTATTTACTCTTTTAAAAATTTTCTCATTTAATAAAGGGAAAAGTTCATCAATGCCCTTATGGTTTGATTTAAAATCACTTATGCCCTTATGATTTTTTTTATTATATGCCCATGTGGTTTGTAAGAAATAAAAACCACATGAACATATGTGATAAAAAAACATATCATTTTACAAATCGCAAGAACATATATGATAAAAAAATCTACAAAAACATAAATAATTCTAGAGAAAACCACGACAAAAATATTGGTGAACTTTTACTTTTAATAAATAAGTGTATCGAATTCGGTGGTACTAAAAATATTTCGATTCCATTCCTCTTACTAATGCTTCTGACGACTCGAAATGCGCATGCGCACGCTCACGCGCACTCCAGCCTCCATGACTTGCCCTTTTCATCTACGTAACAAAGTTGAGCATGTACACAGACAAAGATCCGTTTCCAATTTCCGAGCCAACCTTTTTCCATTGTGCCCTTTGTAATTTTCTGTGTGCTTATATTCTGCAAAGATCTCTTCCTCCAGGACCGCACCCTTCATTTTCAACATAATTTTGCTCTCATAATTTTGGCTACCAAAGCTAAACAATATAATTTCCAAGATTTGGAACAACCCTGTTTTAGGGTCTAGTTATAGCTACAAGAATTAACAATGCTCGTATCTATAGTTACTTAAGCCGCCATACCTCTATCCCAATTAAAGCAATCATTACTTGTCACATCCATGAAAGTTACCTTACGTCCCAAAGCTTCTCATTCTCACTACGTGTCAGACTTCAATTTGTACTCAGCTGTCGACACTCATCCCTCATTCGGTATTTTCTTCCATATATCGGATGTACTCATTTAGTACATTTTTTTTCAAAAAAAAATTAATTTTTTCCCTATTTAAATCTGTACCATTAAAAGCTCTAAGTCCAATATGTAGCCTAAGAAGGGGTAAGTATCGTTGCCAGCAAAAATAGAGACCTAGCTAATGACATCGCACATATGATTTTGTTAATGTAAGTGGGGCAGCGGGCGGGTGGTGTTGAGTTGCAGTAAAAGCTGAAGAAATTGCCGGGGTAACGACAAATAAAGATTGGATCCTCTGTTTGGTGATGAAAGGGTTATTTATTGGGGAGATGATGCTTTGCTTGCATGGAAGGCGAGCCAGGTCAACTTTCTTTGGGGTATGCTATGGGCGCATGGCGTTGCTGCTACAATAGCATTGCTGGTGGCAGTTACTGTTACTGTAATTATGGAGATGAAACACCTATTTAGAGGGTATGGAAGAGTTATCCAATGGAGGTAGCATCCCAACGTAGGACATTTTGATGTCTTAGGCTGAATGACTGTCATATGGGGACAGAAAAGAGAGAGGGATGATAATCCTAGGTCAGCAAGACTAACGTGGACGAGAGAAGTGAGAGCTTAGGCCTGCCTTAATGGGCTAACTAATTGGGTCATCCAGAACAAAATCCATGCTTTCATTTCACTCCCACTTCCTCACACTAAATTTGAGATGGTGTTTTCTTTGTATATGGACCCTTGGTATTACCATTTTTGTGTAGTGCCGAGTCCATTTTTTGTCCAAACTGTTAGTTGGTAAGTTTTTATTTTGTGTGAGT